TTTTTTTACTTTTTTTCACTGAATCTCCGAAACCGCTAGACCTGCCTTCCCAAAAATTTAATCAGTTTTTCATTTTATCAAGATAAGTAAAATTTTATTTGTATTACTAAATTCGGACGCTCCGTTATCTTAAAAACGTATCTTCAAAACGGCTAGATTTCTCTTTGCCAAAAACTAATCACCACGTCTCCTTAACAATATGAATCGAATGTTTTTTGAATTATTGAAATCGGTGTTCCCGAAATCGTTGACGAAAATTTGTATTTGAACACACACACACACACACACGCGCGCATACTTACATCTTTTCTAAAGTATTCCAAAGTGTTTAGAAACTACTGAAATGTAAAGATATATAGAAATTTTCATATTCGATTTTTTTGCGATTACTATAACTTACCCTACGGGAAGTTAATAATTCTGGCTTTTTTCGTAATAATCTTTAGACAGTATTGCCAATTGCTTTACATTGTGATAATAGTAATTGTACCAAAAAATATTCATCCTGAGAGGATATTCTAGCATTCAGACAGGAATTTTACACAATTTTTGAAAAGCTATAAAAATACCAACAATATTTTTACTATATATTTCCTCAAGTCTATTTATTACTAAACAGTATTTTTTAATAATATAAACAAAAATTATAAATTACAATTGTCAGAAAGTTTTAATTCTGTAAGGTGATGAAGTGAGGTTTCTCAAAAACTTTGCACCTTACCTTAACATAAACTTACTTCTCCAAATAATCTGATAAAAAAAATATTATTAATCTAGAATCATGTACCAATCTTATAAATCACTGGTGAGATTATTTTCACAAAAAAACGACTGTCTAAAAATTTTTTTTTCTGATTATTGGGATGAGTATAGTTCATACTAGAGATGTGTATAAATTTCAAGTAAATCGGTCCAGTAGAAGTCTAGATATCGTGGGTATAATATAAAAATTGGCGGTTGTCATGTACCAATCTTATACATCACTGGTGAGATTATTTTCACAAAATAGCGACTGTCTAAAAAAATTTTTTTTGATCGCCTAGAATTATTGGGATGAGTATAGTTCATACTAGAGATTTGTATAAATTTCAAGTAAATCGGTCCAGTAGAAGTCTAGATATCGTGAATATAATATAAAAATTGCCAGTTGTCATGTACCAATTTTATAAATCGCTGGTGAGATTATTTTCACAAAATAGCGACTGTCTAAAAGAATTTTTTTTTTGATATCCCAGAATTATTGGGATGAGTATAGTTCATACTAGAGATTTGTATAAATTTCAAGTAAATCGGTCCAGTAGAAGTTCAGACATCGTGGATATCATATAAAAAATGTCCGTTTTGAGAAAAACAAGTTTAAATATTTCCGGGGAATAGATACAGAGCAGGAATATTGTGGTCAAATAGCTATATCTCCAAAAATAATATAAATTTTGAAAAATTGACTTGCATAAAAGTCGAGTAAATATACTTTGAAAAAAAAAACAAAAAATATAGATTTATAAAAATATATCAGAAGTAAACAAATAATTTAGAATATCCTCTTATTAATATTATTATAATCACCAAGAGCAGGAATGAATAAAAACTAATATTTCTATAATACAAGTACCAATATATATCTTTTACAACTTTATATATAGATTCAATTTTATATAATATTTTTGGCAAATGGCCAAATTATCCTCTCGTAACAACAAATAAATCATAAATATGCGGTTTTATTAACGCCCTCTCGGATATAACCCTAAAAAATATAAAACAACAGAATCCCGAACAAAACTCAATACTGTGAGTTCCCATAACCGTTACCAGCGGAATTCGATTTATCCATCCTGTGCTGAATTTATACGGTATCCTGCGAATACAAATTGCGGTCATCAATGATGAATTTACATTCCTCCCAGCACGGGGTTGTTTTTCCACATGGGGTATATTGAAACTCGATCTAATGTGCTTGAAAAAATATAGCTTACTCGTAATTTATTATCAGAGCCCATTCGATATGAATCACAATTGCTACGCATAATTCTTTAATACTTTTGTTTTCGAACATTTGAAATTTTATGTGAAAAACATCTGTGATTTTGTAAGTTGGAAGGTTGGAAGCGTCTATTGTTGTTGATTCATTTGGGATCAATTTAATACAAGTTAGTATTCTATGTACAATGGTTAATTATTTCAATATTATATAGAATTTTAATCTACTATTAACTTTCTACGTTCCTCTATCTAGTGTGGTAGGTTATAGTAATCGTAAAAAATCGAAAATGAAAAAGCGCCTCTTGAACAATCTGGCATACATTCGAAAATATGTTATGTATGTTTGTGTGTGTATAAGTGTGTATACAATATTTTGTCAATATTTAAAAAATAATTGGATTCGTATTTCGGTTAGTTTTTGCTAATGGCAGGTCTACCCATTTCAAAGATACGGGACAAAAAAAGCTAAAAATGGCAAGGCAATTATTGAGGGAACAGAGTTCGATTTCCACATTCAAAAAAAATTCACTTGTGTAAAATCTTGTGTGAAGTCCAGTTGTTTTGGAGACCCAGAAAAAAAATCATTTAGCGGTCAAAAATGACCATAAGACCATGAACATCACATTTTATAGATATTTTATAGAGCTTTTAATAATTGGTACAAATTTTTCACCAATTCTTTGCTTTCCGTACCAAGATTTATTGTGTTTAAAGTCACTTTTATAGTTTAAACAAATTTTTTCGACATTTTCCACACTATGGAACAAAATTTAAAAAAAATCAAAATATCGAAAAAAAGTACTGGGCATGGCAAGTTCCAAATTTTTGCCTTATGGCACAATGCCATACACCACTATCTTTTATAATATTCTAATTTTAAAACATCACAATTTTTGATTATCCAAAGTTTACAGAAGAGAGTTCATAATCTGTATCATTTTTTTGCACCTTATGATAAATATATCTCCAAAATGTTGCTTTTTTGACAATATTCGGGATTTTTCTGTGAAATATGGTTTGAGTGCGAATACGAGTTTGCTACAATTCGCACATCTTCTATATTTCAAGAGGATATCTGTATTTTATTCAGTTTTACAAGTGGCATAATTCCGCCATATGTCATTTCATGATCTCGTGCATGTGGAATAATTTTGCTTGTAAAGAATCTGTCTTGTACGATCGTTGGTTTTTATATAGGTTTATATATTGAGAATATATTTGTTGAATACAATATAAGATAAAAATAGACGGATTTTACAGAAACAATTGAAATTTTTAATTGAATTTTTTAAGCCTTTGTTACTGAGAAAAATTTCCTAAGCTCGTACTCTTCTTTGGACACAAATTGACCACGATTCTTGTAACATACGTGACTTGGATGTTGGATGTTATTTTACCTATGTGGTCTTTGTGAACGCGAACTAGCAATTGGACCTATTATCTTGGACTTTAAAATAAACTGAATCAAATCGAAAGACTTAGAATTTTTCTGGATTTTTTTAACCAGAAAATCCGAATTTTTAATTTAAGAAATACTCGATGTTTCAAGTAATTTCGAATCCTTTGACCCAAACTAAAGTAAAAGTCACTTGTTATTAAAAATTAAAGTTGGAGTAAAAATAATTTTAAAAATATCACACTTTTTTTTGAACTTGCAAATTACTTTTCAACAAACTATAAGGTATAAAGTTATAATATAAAATGAAATTTTATCTAATATTAAATTCTAAATAATTTTTTTTCAATTTTTTTAGACACAATACAATTTTCAAAATTATTACTTTGTTAAAGGAAAAAGTATGTATGTAGGCATATAAGCCATTTTTTTTACCTTTCTTAGAATTTCTCTTAAAACTAGCTTCACCGATTTAAAAAATTGAAAGCCATCTGATGACACACTATAAGGACTAGTTATTATTGACTATTAGATTTGCAAGACAATCAGCTAAGAAATTCTTTTAAAATTGCCGAAAAAAATCCTCAACTGATTTAAATTCTAAAACCCTTTGAAGGATATTAGTTGGGAGTTATGATGATTGATTTTTGCAAATGATCAAAAAAACATACCAAATTTTTTAGATGTGAAATTTATTAATAAAAAAAATAAGATTTTGGTAAAAATTGGATAAGTCGATCTTCATGATTTAATGTTGAAATTTTTTATTTGACAATATTGATGTAAATTTATATGATATAAATTTATATGACGATAGGCTTCTTGGTCTAACTCAGTGATTCCCAAAGTGGTCTATATGGGCCCCTAGGGATCCATGACAACGTTCAAGGGGTCCACGTCAGCGAAAAGAAATTTTGGAGATCCACGATAGTGGATCACAACACACCTTGTTAATAACTATTTTTTTGTTATTATTTTAAAGCCAATTAATGCCTTAACTTGTATTTGTATCTTTACTTTGAATGTTTATTAAACATTCAAAGTAAACATTTGTATAAATAGATAATTATAAAAAAAAAAGATTTCGGCAGGGTGGGGATTCCATGGCAAAGCCTAAGGGGTCCACGACACAAACAACTTTGGGAATCTGTAGTCTAACTTATCTAACATAATAATTTAGGATTTATTAAAATATATAAATAATTAAAATTTGCTTTTATTGGGACAGAGCTTTAGAGTTATTATTGCAAATACTAAAGAGAATTGCAAGCTTTTGGATGAAATTGCATATAGAACCTACAATTATGTATGTTAAATTTTCAATTATATTTTTATAGGAGTACAAAATATATTGAAACTTATTTCAAATCACCATGCATAGTTTACAAATATACTTCTTTTATCTATGAATATTTTTCAAATATCAACAGGTTGCTTTTTCGATTTGAATTTACCGCGCAGAATCGCGCACATGGCAAACGTCACGCTGTGTTGTCAAAGCATTTGACATTCCAAACAGCATTTTTTGGTTAGGTTTTATTAATTCCATTAAATTAATTTATATTTTTTATTTAGTATATTAAGTTAGTTAGTTATTAAGTTTTACCTTTAATATATGTGACAAAAATTTGACAAAATGGACAAATGCAAAATAAAAAAAGAAAATGCTGATTAACAGTAAGTACATGATGTCACATTTACTATGCTAAAATGCTTTAAATATAATATGTTACATTTAAAGTTTTGTCTGCAGCCTATTGATTTTAGTAATATTTTACAATTGGAAATTAATGAGTTCGATCATTATGATCTTGATGAATTATTAGTAAAAGAAGTAAGTCAAAGAGTTCAGCTCTATGATTTTAGTTTACCCTCATCCCAACGTTCGAGAGACATTACTTATAAATTATGGGAAGAAGTGTCTGAAAATTTACATGGTAATATTTATTCTACAAGTATATCAATATGTAGATACAGCCTGAAATGGATCCTTTACTCTTCAGGTAAATTAACACCGGATGAAGCTCGAAGAAAATGGAAAGTATTTCGGGATCAATTCGCTAAGATTTTAGCAAATGAAAGAAAATCTTTAGATTTAGGTCGACCTCAGAAAAAACACAAATGGAGATTATATAAAGACATGGAATTTTTAAGAAGTTATATGAATTCTAATAAAAAGTACAACTTTCACAATATGTTAAATTCGAATTTTAACATTCTGAAGCTATGATTTTTCTTTCAGAAACAAAACAGATGAAAATTGTATAGATATTAAACCAAATTTAGAAGAAAAGCAAAACGGTGTTACTAAAAATAGTAATGATATTGATGTAATTCAAAAAACTGTAAACAATGGTCGAGAAAAATACATCGACCATCATCACCTAACTCAGGTTATATAGTAGTTTTTTACCTTTGAATTTGATATCAAGACCAAATTCAAGATATTCTGAAGATTTAGATTAAGTATATTATTTTATATTATATTCCTATTACAGAAGTATCTTCTGTCAGTATAACTCGAGACAATTGTGGATTTGAAATAAATCAGTGTAATGCCAATACATATGCATCAAAAATTACTGAATTAATATCCGAAATTAAAAAACAAAATGAAGAAAATGATGACGAAGTCAGAGGATTTATTAGAATGATAGTGCCCGTACTCCGAGAACTACCTGAACAAAAACGAAGGCAATTTATGTGGAAAACTTATGGAGATTTAATAAAATTAAACGAGAGTTCTAATTTTTAAATTGCGTTTCATTTCATTATTCTAATATAGTAATAGTTAGCAGGAATTAGTAGAATATTAATCATTATCTTGGTATATTTATTGCAGAAAACATATTTGCTTTTCACAAAGTTTCAAAGCAAATAATGGATTTATTTTAATTTTATGCTTTTCATTATTGCTTTGGATGGTTTGTGTTCTATCCCATTATTGCTTGGACCCGATTATCCAAAACATCAACAAAACAGATTTCGACTGAAAAAATAAATTACTTTAATAAATTAATCTAAAAATACATGATAATAATATTTTTAATTTAAACAATTGTTGTAATTTAAAAATATATAATAATAATATTTATATAAATATCGATGTTGAATATAATTTGCTCGTATAGAATGTTATGAAATTATATACTTGGCATCAACAGAACGCCTTGTCGAATCTGGCGTCCCACGCAACGAAATGACGCTATTATTGGAGCCTATTACTATAAAAGCTCTTTCAAATTTGATACTTTGTTGTATATAAAGACATGTATGTGCTTAGAATCAAGAGTAAACACTATTTCAGAGCTACAATGCTGGATGTAACATAAAACATGGTAAATAATGAAGGATCTATTGTTATTATTCCCACTTAACGTAAAAATAGCTGAAAATAATAGAAAATTTGGCGTAGAGATTTTATTCAAACTTTTACGATTTTTTTCTGTATCTTTTTACATATATTTTATTTATATATAATACTGAATATGTATACATATATGTATACATATATATTCACCTGCAAACTAAATATTTACCAGTTTCAACAAACTGTTCACATACGCGAAATCATACTACACTTATCTGAAACGTAGTAGTTTATCACACTGCAATGGCAAGGTGCCAAACAAAACTTTGTTTCGAATTCAAACGTGAATCAATGTTTAATACAGGACAATAATCGAAGATATATTGTGTGGATGTACGGAGAATACTGTATAAAATATATATATCCGAAGCTTTTGGACTATCTTATATGTCATGTCAGGTCAGGTAGCGGTGCATTTGGGAAGATTCAGTTCAAATAAAATTCTCTGGCAGCCAGATAGATATGTAACAGAAAATATTGCGGAAAATGGTACATGCTGGATATTTTGCAGACCTTAATAATTCTTTGAAGTAGATATATTGTGGATTAAATAACTCGAGGGATTTCTTGATGCGGGGTTTTAATATATACAAACAAAGATTTTTATTGGAGCATCAACTCAGTTATTTAAAAAAAAACTACTTTTTACTAAATAAAACTAAAAGACATAACATAACTAGTGGTGCATATGGCATCGTGCTTTAAGGCGAATTGTTGGAATTTCAGTACCGTAATTTGAAATTATGAAACATCTTACAATCTTGAAAAATACGGATTTCATGTGATTTTTAATTTGTTTTAAAAATTTCGAGAAATCAACTTTATTGACAAGTTTAAAGCTTTACTTTTATTCAAAATTCTACTAGATTAAGTATAATGAACATTCTTAAACAACAGAACTAAGTATTCTTAAATTTCTTATGCGTATTAATTTTATATCTTACTATGACCGGATTTCATCTACAACAGTTGTAATTATATTTATTTGTTTTACAGCAATTGGATATATGTCCTCCTCAAAGAAACAATGATACCTTTGCCGAATTTGTACCACACATATTTGTAAGTAATACTACTAAATAATTAAACAAATTGAATTGATTTGGATTAAGTTTATGATAATATTTAATTTATATTTTTTTTATAAATATGTAATTGTGGGAAACTTGTAAATTCGGCTGAGACGCAAGTTTTATTTATTGATTTTAAATGTTGATTATTACAAGATTTGTTTTTATTTGATATAGGTAAAATATCGTTTTGTTATGTCCCAAATCTTGTCTGATTAAAAATAATTTTATATATGTGATTATATTGAGTGTTGTATAAGGTGCTGCCCATTAATCAGGTGATTGATTTTCAAGAATTTTTAATACCTTTGTCTTCGTTTGTGATATTTAAAATTACCCCTTGTACACCCACCCATAATCACGGGTATTTTTAGTGCATTTTTTAAGGTTCATATGATAAATAAATACAAGTAATATTTCAATAGACCACTCTTCCTCACATTATATATATATTTTTTTTTTTGACAATTCACTCATTTAATGCTCACGTGATTATTGGACGGCCTTTAATGAGGTAATGGTGAAGGGATTTCATCTATAAGCATATTTACAAATTTAAATGCGTTTGTTAAATTTTGCCTTACTATTTTCATCAAGAAATAAATCATGGGCACAAGTTCTCAGCAACTTTTTCGCGTTTGATACGTGAATAGAACTGCAATATGTCGGATAAGAATATGTTGTGAATTTCACATGATTTTGATATACGGAGATTCGAAGCTATAGCAATATAGTTAGAACGTGCTTTCTATGCAGCCCTACTCGTTTATAGCCTTATAACGCGAGAAATATATTCCAAATCGTTTCTTTTTGGAATTTTTGTTAGAACGATATTTCATTTCTACAAATATTTTATGCAGATATACTGTGGTTGCAGTTACAAGTGCATATATTTACTGAGAAACGATTTCTTTAACGCTAAACTAAATAAAACATTAGTAGAACTAAATCAATCTAATATAGAATACTGTAAAGCAAAATTATATTTAAATGCTATATGTCCTTTAAAGTACAAACTTTAGTTTCAATTGAACGTTTAAAATGACAAAAATAAAGATTTGTAGGCCAAACGTTTTTTATCACTCTTGCAATTGCAATTGCAATGCAATTCATAATAAAAACACAGTCAAACATTCTATATAAGTAATTGTTTTCTATTACCTAATTTTTATTGTTGTATATATTATATTGTTAATTAAAATTGATGTTCACTTAATTGATGTTCTATAAATAATCCCCTAAATCTTAGACCACTTTTTGAACAAAATATCTGGCTTTCTATTTTTTTGTTATAGACTTTATGTATATTTTGTACTTTATGCTATAGATGGGTGGTTGGTTTCGCGCTCAATACTAACATTTAAACATATGGTATGTTCTCAAAAATGCGATTTGCGATTTTGATGAAACTTGACACACATTATTACTACACTTTACCAAGATTGTTACCAAAATTTAAATTTGGATCATCCAATAGTTTCTGAAATACGCGAGATTGATGGGTGCATGCCTCCGCCATTAATACTAACATTTAAAAGATGGTATGTTCTTAAAAATGCCATTTGCGATTTTGATGAAACTTGACAGACATTGCTACTACATTTTACCAAGTTTGTGACCAAAATTTAAAGTTGGATCATCCAATAGTTTCAGAGATATGCTAGACTGATGGTTGGGTGGCTCCGTGCTCAATACTAACATTTAAACAGATAGTATGTTTTCAAAAATGCGATTTGCAATTTTGATGAAACTTGACAGACATTGTTACTACACTTTACCAAGTTTGTGACCAAAATTTAAAGTTGGATCATCCAATAGTTTCTGAGATATGCTAGACTGATGGTTGGGTGGCTCCGTGCTCAATACTAACATTTAAACAGATAGTATGTTTTCAAAAATGCGATTTGCAATTTTGATGAAACTTGACAGACATTGTTACTACACTTTACCAAGATTGTGACCAAAATTTAAAGTTGGACCAATAGTTTCTGAGATAGGCTAGGTTGATGGGTGGCTCCACACTCAATACTAACATTTAATAGAGCATTCAAAAATGTAAAGCGAGTTCTATTCTTACCTCGTTTTTATAAAAGAACAACTGCTCTTATAATTTTTTTAAGAAACTTTTAGTAAATCAACTATCAACAAACTAATCAAACAAAACTTTAATAATCGATACATATTTAAGAGTTCATCGGCCAAATAATGAGTATTTTTTATTACTAGATTTTCATCAGTATTTAAGATAATTATTTGATAAATTTTTATTTTTATTTATTTGACCATCAATCCCTTATATTCAAAAAAAAAAAAAATTGATAAATGTTTATGACGAGCGGAACAAATTGAAAACGTAATAGGAATCGATAGAGAACTAATCACCAAACATATATATGTGGGTTCCTTTACATCTATTGAGAAAAAGAAAATACATACTCGGAAACCGAACAGATGGTCGCAAAAATAGATAAACTATTTGTATCCAAGCGAAAGTTTTAGTTTTAGTATCTGACCATTATTTAGAAATAGAAATTTGATAAATTTATCTAATAATTTATTTGACCATCAATCCTGTTGATTCAAAAAAAAAAAGATAAATGTTTATGTCGATAGGAACAAATTGAAAACGAAATAGGAATCGATAGAGAACTAATCACCAAACATATATATGTGGGTTCCTTTTACATCTATTGAGAAAAAGAAAGAAAATACATACTCGGAAACCGAACAGATGGTCCCAAAAATAGATAAACTATTTGTATCCAAGCCAAGGTTTTAGTTTTAGTATCTGACCATTATTTAGAAATAACAAATGCTTTTCCGGTTTATCAATTTATATTAATAT